GGCGGTGCGCACCCCGCCCCAGGGCCGGGAGGGGCCGCGTCTGTGACACGTCCTAAATACCGTCTTTCTTTATAGCGGCACCTTGTGAGTGGGCTTTGTTTTGATCTTGTCCTCTCCCTCCCCCTAGGAATTCTGTGGATGACTGGGAAACTGAAGTACTATTAGGCTGTTTGCCTTCAAAGAACAGGTGTTTGAAGGTCACGTCCTTCGCAGGCAGGCTGAGACATGAAGAGGAGGAATCTAACTGCGTGGAGCTTCAGAGTTACAGCACCTGCACCTGCGTATCAGTAAAAGCCAGATGTCACATTCACAACGCTGCACGAAAGGAACGGGAGAGGTGTGCTCATTGAAAAGGCCGTTGACCAGGTCCCAGCCTAGCAAATCCTTAATCAGGTATAGGACTCTGGTAATACTTTTTTTAAGTAAAGACTAGCAATTCTTATGTCAATACCTGAGTTTGTGAGGTTTAAGGCAGCTATCAATGATTCTATGATTCTATCACTCAGAAGATACCACTCTCTAGTTCATCTCTCCACAGCTACACAGGAGAGGGCTCATACAACCGTACGTTCTAAGCGGTGTGCAGAGTCCTAGTAACTCAAGGCACTCAATAGCACTACTAGCAGAGGATAACTGCAAGGCCACGCCAAGCCGACATCGCCTCAGGACGCACAATGACGCCCACCACCCACTTTACACTTGCAGAGGCCTCTGCAGGCCTCAGAGCCCACTTCACCCTCACTGAGGGTCTTGTGCCGGGCGCCAGGCCAGCGACGGGGCTCCGCAAGGCGGCCGGCCGGCCGCCTGCCTGCCCGCCCGCTTCCGCGGCGCGACTCAGCACTAGCTGTGGCCACCCCCACCAGCGACGGCCCCATGCTGAGAGCCCCTTTTCTTCGCGGGGAGGCCTTTAAGAGGCGGGCCGCGCCGCTATCTTGCCTGAGGGCGGTTGGTGGCGCATGCGCGGCGGGGCGCGGAGCTGCGCGTGCCCTCTACGCCGTCGGAGCGGGAGCGATGGGGCTGGGGCAGAACTCCGCCGTGCGGGGTAGGGGCGCGTCTGGGGGCGGCGGGAGGGAGGCAGGG